ATGGATTTCCGATCCGCAAAGGTAGGTCGTAGTACTACAGTTGCAAGAATTGATCAATCACAGTCGAATATGAATAGAATTCGACTACGATTGGTCAATTCTTACAAATGCAACTACTTACGCAATTATAAAATAATTAGGCTTTATATAAAAGCGTATACAGTACATTTACAGTACAAATTTATTTTATAATTTATTTCCATATCAAGGATATAAAATATTCCGTCAACACGGAAAAAATAAGCTAAATATATATGAGATGAAATATGTATATAAAAGTTTGAATTATATAAGAAATTCGATTTCTTCGCACACGACGAGATAACAGACATAACGTATTTGAGGAACAACTCGGTATCGAGAGGCACAAGATTATTCGCGAGCGATGCATTCCGCGGTATTATTTTTCAATCGGCCAACATTAATTACCGGCTACTGCCGGTTGTTAGGCCGATCGATAGACCGCTGGAAACCTGGCCGAAGAGAAGTTCTCCTGAGATATTCCGTTCCCTCTCTAAAGGAAAGAGACGTAACACCGCGCCCCTCCTTACCCCCCTTCTCTTCAATGGAGGGCCCCTACGACGCAACGTGAGACAGGTTTACACGATCGGTCCGTTACGAGCTACGCAGAACGCGTTTCTGGTTGTGCACATTTATTTCTCGCACGCACGCACGCACGCACGCGCGCGAGAACCGGCAACGTGCCACTGAGGAAATTAATAGCGTTAAAAATTGTCCGTTTCTGATCGATAAAAAGCAGCGAAGAGATTCAAAGAGATTCATAATATCTGTTAGAAAGTTCGTCGTATCTGTTACCTTCGAGCGAATAGAGTTTGTAGAATAATCTCACCCGGTAGAAATTTCATGCATTTTTTGAGCAGTTACAGTTATTAATTCTGTCTACTAACTGAGAAGTAAAGTTACTTAGGCCAATCAAGATGTAACGCTTTGCGTCTGTAGAGTTATCGTGTACGAAGGTGTACAAAATTTGAATCCATTTATTGAACAAAAATAGAACAATAAATGGACTACGCAATATTGAACTAATAATAATCTATTAATAGTAGACTGAACAAGAGTTTACGTAAATAGCACATATTTTTAGCAGGAAAATTGTTTCGACTATTATAAATAAAGCTTTATTAAGTTCTTATCAATTTCCTACGTATATTTCCTACGCTGCGTCAACAGAAAAAGCTTTGTAATTGTTGTAAAATTCTTGAATATGATCGATTTATACATTTAGATTCAGTGAGGAACTGAGGGCAAGATCAATATTATATTAAAGAATTTTAGGTACAGCAATTGCAAAGTTTTTTTCTGCTGAACGCAGCTATTACGACTAATGAGAATACAGTAATATTAGATGATAATTGGATCTCTAGGAAAATTGCATGCATTTCTATCAGGATCCGTTCAGACTTGTAATGAATCTTCTACGATGTACAATTACATTTGAGAAATATCTTTTTATATAATATTAAATTTAAAAAATTCTGTCACAAGATACGTCAATGGAAAATTATGTATAACATGGATCTTGAACCACACGAGCATTGATTCTATTACATGAGTGTTTGCAGACTGACGGGTTTGTATAAATAAAGTACGGTACAAAGCGAAGGACTTAACATCGCGGATGGAGAGCTGCGACGTGTTTTCTAGGCTGCGTACGTTTATCGCGTTTCACGGACAGCTTTGTGCAAAAGTTTACTTGGCCACTTCGGTCCTGGGCAGAAGTTTCCAAGCGAGTTGTCGCTTAGAAACTTGCGACTCCCTGCGTATTAGTTTTGCATCTGCAACCAGATTTTCAGCATTTTCAGCATTTTTCAACCCAATTACATTCGTTACAGCCTGTGTATGCGTATTCTGAAAAAAAAAGAGAGAAAGAGAGGCGCAGGAAAAGTCTCTTTATCTTTCTATTTTATGTTTTTGTGTCAATCTTCCAATGCATCATTAGATTTTTTACGCGAGCTAATTGTAACTCGATTATTTATGATAGAATATTTTATTACAATTTTGTACACTGAAAAAAATTTTTAGTTGAAAATGAATTAACCAGAAAATTCCGATTATATTAATCAGAGAATTTCTGGTAATCTCAAGTACAGTTATAAGACTTAACCAAAAAATTCTGACTTGTCCGTTTTTAATTACATATATAGAAGAATATTTTTCTACTGCTAAAAAAAGTAATTACTTAATTTACTTCTTTCCTTTCAAATAACGTTATCTTTGACAAAGAATATTTTCTTGAAAATAATCTTAAAATATATACTTTTATTACAAATTTAAAAGAAGACTCATTATTATGTATTCAAAATAAGAATTTATTTTCTTTTAAAGAATATTACAAAATTAATCAAAGAAACGACTTTATATAATAAGCATATAGAATTTGTTTTAATTTAATAATTTTGACTAAATTGAACACTTACTCGGATTCAAAATATATTTTAAATAAATTTGATGCTTGTAATGAACTTTACTTGACGAAATTTGCAGAGTTTTTGAAATACTGTAAAACAAGTAATTATTATCTCATTCTATAAAAGTGAAAATTGTGCCAGTATTGAAAAAGAGTGGCACAATTTTCAATCTCTAAGGGCGAGATTTTAGTTCTTCAGAGAAATTAACTCAAGTTTTAGAGAGCATTTTTCTGTGTACACAATTCTAAATGCAGCCAGACTCTTTTCTCAGTGTAGAGATTAAATATGAAAACGTATCGAGCGTCGAACGAGAGCACTTTAGGAAATGGAGTACATTATCCTTCGTTATATCTCTAATCGGCCACGCAGGCGACTCTATTGCGGTGCGGTTAGACTGTGGAATTTAGTGCGATCTGCGTTCCGTTATGCGTGCATTTAACATAAGTGGGGTTTTAACGTCGTCTCGCCAAAAGGCCAATCACACGGGAGTGGAAATAATTGTTGTTACTCGACGCGTTCCTCACCGCAATTTATCGGAACCTCCGGAGTCCACGGGTCGTTGCACGCACAATTGTGAAATGGCCCGCAAACGAGCGGAGATCTATTCGCAATTTACTTGATATTATAAAACGTCTCGTGGATCGTGGCATTTACAAATTCCCCTCTTTCAAATTTCCCCCCCAAAAAATTCAATAGGTTCTTTGCTCGTGCGAGATAAAACGAAATTAAGTGAAATTTTTCATTAAATCGTCACCGAAACTCTTCTCGTCGATTTTTCACTCTTAAGAATCCTTTATGAGATGAGAATGAAAATACTGATAAATTCGATGTCGACGAAAAGCTCGCGGAATGAGATGCGTGTAAACGATCGATAAACGCGAAACATTAATAATACGAAATTTTTCTGACGAAGCAGTACGATAGATTTTCGGAAAGATAAAGAGTTTTTATATAATTTATATAAACCGGTTCTTAAATTAGGAGGATCTCTGTCATAAAGTGCCGAGCATTTCTGACTTGTTAATCCGCAAAATAAGTGATTTAAGTCTGATTTATGTAATCATTCTTTCATTCTTAATAGAAATATATGTCGTATGATCGTGTCAATTTCAATATTTCAATATTTCATCGCTCAATTTCTCGGATTTTCGTAAAACCTTTTTAGTCTTAACACAGATTTATATTTAATAAAACGAAAAAGATGGCTTTCAGATTAAATTGCATAATACCGTAACGAAAGAAGAGGATTAATTTCCTGGACACAGTTTACTGGTCGTATTGTCA